TCAAAGCAGTCCAGTTCACTAGCATTGTTCCCAAGTGGACATGATGGCTTTATTCCACTTTGTGTTTCATCAAAGTCATGGGGACTGGGAACAAACTCGTCACCGTCCTGCCAATCCCAGATGCGGTTTGCTGGTGGGTTCTGGATATTGTACCGTGGTTGTGGTTGTGGTTGTGCAGGTTGTGGGAGTGTGGGGTCGGGTGAGGCTGGTTGTTGTGCAGAGTCAGCAGCGTGGGTAGCAGCGTGGCCCGCTGATGGTGCCACATGGGCCGTACCACCATCACTATCACCACCACTGCCTGCTCTCTCACTCACATCATTCATACCCATCGTAACAATATCGTCATCTTCACTATCAGGTCGTGGTGTAGGGCCATGGGATGTGCTCCCAGAGTTTCTCCTTCCGCTTGGAACAACATATGAAACACTACCAGACCGCATGCTACGTCGTACATACTGCCGCTTCACTGGGGAATATTCACCCTCACTGTCACTAGAACTGCTTTCAATGGCCTTGAAATCACTATCACTATCACATTCACTGCTAAGATCTGGGTGTTGTACACGACCAAATAGTTTCCTCTTTCGTCCTGGTACAGGCGAACGTGAACAAGCCGGCCCAGCACCAGAGGTGGAAGGTTGTGGGTCATCTGGGTTTTCATCACTAATTACGTTATCCTGGGCACTTCTTCCGGTAACACTCACTTCAAAACCCTGGAATTCACTGTCACTGACATTTTCATCGCTGTTAGAGCTATCACTTGGGAACAAAAGACCTCCAATCCGCTGAAGAGTGAGGAACTTCTTACTGAGAGGCATGGTGAAAATGGACTAACAAGATGGCGTTCCCACAATGCACTGCTGGGTCCCAGATTTTTTTCACAGGGTGCACACCGACCACTGAGACCCATTCTCTCTCATGTAGGCCTACCAGGCCTTTCCCGCTTGATTTGAAGCCGCTAGAATTTGTGCGCATAAATACGTCAGAAACATTGGCGCGTAAGATGCATTTATACAGCGTAAACAGTCAAAGGGTTAAATTGGCAAAAACTGGTTGATTGTGGGGGATTTTTGAGGGAAAAGGTAGGGGGCCTCACCACACCAATTTTTTTAGGGGGTTTTTTCCCTGGGTCTGCTTAATTATTGCATTTTTTTGGTTTATAGACGAGTACAGTAGTTTTAAGTCCCTTTGGCATTGAAGAGCCCCCAACTCGAACCTTTCGTATTCGAACCTTGTTGGGTAAAAAAATTCACTCTAGTCACCTTTTCTCACACTTCAAAGTTTATTCCTATAAGGATTACAATGCTGAGTTACAAAATTTTGGGTTTTTTGTGTGGTTACATGTAGTAAAATAAAATTACAGAGTGTACCCTAGGCTGGGGCATTTCGGGCAGACTTATTTTAAAATTTTAAAAGTTTAAAATTTACAAAATTATGAGGTAGTTGGTACTTTATGGCTAATGACTAAATACTATTGTAGTTAGAAAGGAAATGCTTTGTTTGGCACTATACTGTTTCAGTATTGGAGTATCCAGGCCAACTTATGACTAGTTAAGATTCATTTTTTTTGAGTTTTGAGATTGATTTTCTTTTTATGGTCAAAGGGGTGAGTGATGTAATGTGAACCACCATGTATTCGTATTTAAGTTGACAGGGTGTACAGGAGATAAGATGTTTTCTGAGGAGTTTTGAAGGTGATGAATGTGTCTGCATTTGGGAAATTTTCAGGTGGGGTTTTCCAGATTTTGGGGCCTTGACTACTTTAAAAATTTTTGTAAAGGGTTTAGCAACACGGGGAATGTAAAAGATTTTTTTTTTCCTGGTTTGTGCCTGTGGGTTCTGTCACAACTACAAGAAAGCATTTTGGGTAAAGGGTTAAATTTTGGAATTTAAGGTCCTGTAATGTAGATGCACTAAAGTTGGTTACTAAACAGGGTAAATTTAGATCTATGAAGAGTGGGGGGTGTGTTGCCAGGATGGGATTTAGTGATTATTCTTACTGCAGCTTTTTTGGGGTTATTATTGGCGGGTTGCGCTTGAACCCCAAACACAGATAGCATAGGTGAGGTATGGATATAAAGTGAAATGGGATAGTTAAGAAAAGGGGAGTTTGCGGCACATATTGTATCTTGGAGGGATCCCAACCGTTTGGGATACTTTTTTGGTTATGTGTTGGATATGGGTGCGAAAATTTTAGGGCGAGGTATAGACCAGGGAAATTTTCCCTCATTAAAACCTGGGAAAAAGTTTGTCGATCTTAATGTTAATTTGCGCATCTCCTGCCTGCTACCAACCATAAAGTAGTAGGTTTTTTTTAACGTTAAGCGTTTAATTTATTGGCTGTCACCAAATCATATTTTAAATTGACCAAAAAATGTCTCAGTTTCCCCCCAGCTGTCGCTCGGGGCTAAACTTTTCCCCAACTGCTTTTATAAAAGAAAGTGTGGCAAAGGGGGGGAAGTGCAAAGTTTTTTTTAAAAATTCAGCAGACAAAGCTATAGCAAATAGTTTTTATAAACCTCTGAAAGATAATTCCGTGTCTCACTTTGAAACATTTTTAAAAGTAGGGAAAAACAAATTTCATTAAACGGGTTTTAGTGAACAGAGACTCAGGGGGTCACAGAAGAAAGCACAAAGAGACAGAAAAGAAATGAACCCCAAAACACATTTTCTGCCATTTTTATGGCATCAAATTTCTAGTTTCGGGGAAAGTGAGAATAAATTTTTTAGATTTTTGCATGCAAAGGGTTGTAAATTTTTGTCTGAAACAGATTTAAACTAACTTTTGGAAAAATGTTCATACTTCGATTACACCGAACAGCCTTCTAAATGAATTTAAGTTCGAGTACCGAGGTATACTGTAAAGGGAAAACTTTGACTTTTTATATATGGCATGGATTCAAAAAGGAGGGCAAGTTTATATTGAGAGGCCTGGGGACATATTAAAGAAAAGGGAAAGTTCTTTTGTGGCTGGTAAACCCATATGTTTTTTTTAGACTTTTTTTTAAGTTGGATTTTGAAAATGGTGTAAAACTACCAAATTAGCCAACTAGTGAAATATCTGGGGGTTGATTCTGTTTTTAGCCCCTGTATTTTAAATATAGACCCAAAGTGGGGGGAAATTTTTTATAAAGGTTCCTGACCTCTAAAATTTACACCTATTAATTCAATAAGTATTAAAAAAAAAATTTTTGCTTTTTTTATTTCGATTACTCGAAAAAGATTCTTTTCCAATTTTTGGACAAAATCATTATTTTTTTTTTTTAAAACTTGTGGACATAATCTAACCTAACCTGACCTAACCAAAATTTACATAGTCTAACCTCCCCTAATCTACCCTAAAACCTAACTTGCCCTAGATTAACTTAACCTGACCTTGCCTAAATAACATAAATTGAGAGATTTACTGAATATTAAATTCAATTCAATTCAATTCAAAGTTTATTCTCTATAAGGATTACAATGCTGAGTTTACAGAATTTGGTTATTATGTGGTTTACATGTAGTAAAATAATAATTACAGAGTGTACCACTGGAACATCTAGCATGGCTAGGCATTTCGGGCAGACTTAGATTAAATCTTAAGTTTAAAATATTACAAAAATTATGAGGTAAGTTGGTATTATGGCTAAGTGACTAAATACTAGTTTGTGAATTTAGCAATGTGAATGCTTTTGTTTTGGCACTATACATAGTTTCAGTATTGGAGCATCACAGGCCAACTTATGACTAGTTTAAGATTCATTATTTTTTAGATTGAGATTGATATTTCTGTTTATGGTCAAATGGGTGAGTGAGTGTAAGTGTGAACCACCAGGTGGTATTCGTGTAATTAGTTGACAGGGTGTATCAGGGAGATAAGATGTTTTCTGATGGTAGTTTTGAAGATGAATTTTCTGCAGTTTTAGAGTTTTCAGGTAGGGTGTTCCAGATTTTAGGGCCTTTGACATACATTGGGAAATTTTTTTAAAGGTTTAGTCGGACACGGGGAATGTCAAAAGAGATGTTTGTGTCTGGTGTTGTGCCTGTGGTCCTGTCACAACTATCAAGAAAGCATTTTAGGTCAAGGTTAATATTGGAATTTAAGGTCCTTGTAGATGTTAGATTGCACAGTAGTAGGTGTGGATGTTCTGAACAGGGAGTAAGTTTAGATCTATGAAGAGTGGGCGGGGGTATGGGGTTTAGTGATTATTCTTACTGCGGCTTTTTGTTTGGGTTATTTTTGGGCTTTAGGTGTGCTGCTCAGTTGAACCCCAAGCACAGATAGCATAGGTGAGGTATGGATATATAAGTGAATGGTATAGTGTGAGAAGGGCAGTTTGCGGCACGTAGTATCGTAATCTTGGAGAGGATCCCAACCGTTTTGGATACTTTTTTTTGGGTTTTGTGTTGGATATGGGTGCTGAAATTCAGGTTGTTGTCGAGGTATAGGCCTAGGAATTTGCCCTCATTATGCCTGGCAATTAGAGTGTTGTTGATCTTAATGTTAATTTGCGCATCTCCTGCTCTGCTACCAAACATAATGTAGTAGGCTTTGTCAGTGTTAAGCGTAAGTTTATTGGCTGTCATCCAAGTCGATATTTTGATCAGCTCCTCATTAACAATGGTGTTGAGGGTGGCAAGATTGGGGTGAGAGATGACAAAAGTCGCGTCGTCAGCAAAGAGAATGGGGTTCAGGTGTTGAGATACATTTGGAAGATCATTGATGTATATGAGGAAGAGCAGGGGACCAAGGACACTTCCCTGCGGAACTCCAGTATCAAGTGGCCGTGTTGTTGATGCTGTGTCTTTAATGGTGACATATTGATACCTATTAGTAATGTAAGATTTGAAATATGCAAGTGCATGGGGAAAATCTGTGATGGATCCACACACAAATCATTCCCCAACAGTGACATATTGACCGTTTATAAGCAGTCAGAATTCTGACATTGTAATTTTGGGCCCTGCTGTATATTGATCTAAGACAATTTGATCTATGACAATTTTTTTTTTTTCAGCTGGATGAAATGAAGTATGTGGGTACATTGATGTTAGTGCTCAGAGAGATGGATCATGCAGACATACTTCTCATGACAAGCTTTTGCAATGTTCTTGTGCAGCTCTGGACAAGGTTTGTCATATACTTTGTAGCAAAATATATGTGTGCATCATGTTGCCCAAAATGTAAATATTTGTTCATAATTTTGTTGAATATGATTTATGCATTTTGTAATTAGTATCAAATTATAATGCAGAATACCAGAAGATTATGTTGGGTTCTCATATGTGGACATAATGTTTGTCATCTGTTGAAAGCTACTACCCCCAGTCCTGAGCTCCTTATCTGCTGACCAACTACTTCAGGTAAATTTTTAATTATCAAAGGATTTTTGTTTTGAACAGCTTGTGTATTTAATGAAATTAGATTTTAAATCAATCCCTAAATGATGAGTAGAATTAGTTGTAAAGTGCTTTAGTCAGTGCCTTATAAAGCTTGTCATATAACCCACAGATGTTATTAACCCTTTCGGGGTTTTCGCCGTACTAGTAAGTCTTAAGTGCCAGAGTTATTGATGTACTAGTACACTTAAATTCTAGCGCCTTCAAATTGAGTGGGAGAGAGCTGGTAGACCTACATGTGATAGAATGGGTCTATGTGGTAAGTGTGCGCAGTAGGAAAAAATCTATGCACCCGCATTGCATTGTGGGAGTGGTAATTCAATGGCCTTTGTCACCAAGCCAAGCATAAGGAATACCTCACTCTCTGACAGTGTGGGTGGTGGGGAAAGGCATTGGGGGGGGTTAAAGCAGTGTGGATGGTAGGGAAGGGAGCTTGGGTTTGTGTAAACAGCATGCCTGGCCATCTGGCTGGCTGGCTATCTGGCTGCCTGACTATCTGGCTGGCTGGCTGCCTGTCTGTCTCTCAGTAGTATCAGTTACTCAGTAGTACCAGTACCAGTTACCAGTGTCAGTAGTAATGACTCACTACCAACCGTCTGTGTGAGTCACTTGTTATTCACTGACATTACCGCTGACCCTAGCATGTTTTGAACGCCGCTCACCTGCTAGGCATTTTTCATGAGGCAGTTGAAGGATAGACAGGAGAGACGCAGGTCAGGCTTGGCGCTTCCCATATAGTCCGTCGAATATACGCACTTACTGCCTACGTGAGTATTATTACCCAATCCATGTTTCGGAACCCACACGACAAATTGGTGGCAGCGGTGAGATTTGAACCCACGCCTCCGAAGAGAGTGGTGTGTATTACAATAAGTTCCATTACATTAGTTTCCATCCCGATCTTCTCCTTATGTAATAATGTTCAATTGTTGTGTACTGTGACATTGTATAGAATCAGCCCAAGCCATAAGCCAGTCATCTCTAGTTTGTATTAGCTGTATGTCGGGATGCCATACGTTAGTGTCGCCTAGCTCTCGGTAGTATCAATTGCTCAGTAGTACCAGTAACCAGTTACCAGTCAGTAGTAATGACTCGCTACCAACCGTCTGTATGAATCACTGGTTATTCACTGACGTTACCACTGACCCTAGCATGTTTTGAACGCTGCTCACCCGCTAGGCATCTTTTGTGGGGCAGTTGAAGGATAGACAGGAGAGACGCAGATCAGGCTTGACGCTTCCCATGTAGTCCGTCAAATATAAGCACTTGCCTCCTACGTGAGTATTATTACCCAATGCACGTTTCGGAACCCACACGACATGTTTGTCTGTCTCACAGGTACACAAAATATAATTATACATATGTAATGCAGTGACGCAGTGACTACTGCTCGTGTGTAATACGTGTTGGTTCACTAGTGGCTCTCTCTGAGACAGAGAACAGAAAGAGAGACAAGCAGACAGATAGACAGACAGATATACATGTTTGTGTAAAGTGAAAAGAAATAAAGGGAGGGCAGTGTACCCCCATCAGATGTCACCACTGTCATTCGTGGAGTGATAAGATGAGATAAGAGAAACTCATCAAATGTCACCACTCTCATTAGTTTAGTGATAAGACGAGTGACACACACACACGCACCATGCTTCAGTTATTATTAATTGTTGTTATTATTATTATTATTATTATTATTATTATTATTATTATTATTATTATTACTACTACTACTATTATTATTATCTCCATTGTATCCTAGGTAATTTACACTACGTATAATTGTATTTATGTGTACCTGTGAGACAGAGACAGAGCCTGCCTGCCCGCCCCGCCCCGCCCTGCCCGCCCCGCCCCGCCCCCACCCTGCCCTGCCCTCCGCCCTCCTGCCCTGCCCTGCCCCTGCTGCCCTGCCCCTGCCCTGCCCGCCTGCCCTCTGCCCTGCCCTGCCCTGCCCTGCCTGTTCCCTGCCGCCTGCCTGTCCTGCCCTGCCTGTCCTGTACTGCCTTGCCTGCCTGCCTGCCTTGCCTGCCTGGCTGCCCTGCCTGGCTTGTCTGGCCTGCTTGCCATGTTGTTTACACAAACACTCACTCCCTTCCCCACCAAAACATTACTGTGACCTATAAATACTGTGTGTATATTTGTGTGACTAAAATAGGTGAAAATGTTCACCTGTCAGTGTTTGTGCAGTTATTGTGTAGTATACAACCAGTGTATATATCCAAAAGATGCCTTATATTGGTCTCACGGGTCATAAAAGTTACTTGAAAAAAATAAAATGTTGAAAAAGGAAAGAAAAAAGTTGAAAAATAATAAATAAACTATTACCGCATGACTGGCAGTCGGTGATATTGCTGTAAGCAGCTCACTTTGTCAACTTTACACCTCCATATCTTGGTAAGTATTGATCACAATTTTTTTTTTTTTTTTTTTTTTTTTTTTTTTGGAAAATAAGACTCGCAAAAATATGCCCTATCATTTCATAAGAAAAAAATATTTTTTATTTTTTTCGAAAAATTTTCGACCTTGACAACAAGTTTGGGAGAGGGCCTGTCAACCCTGAAAGGGTTAAATAGCACCAAAAAAGATAGAACATTAGATATTGATTGTTAGTCAATAGTGATAGCTTAAGCCTGCCAGCACTCCCTTCACTCTACATATATTCATCATAAATTTAAATATCACTGATTTTGCTGATAATTATTTCCATGAAGAAGTTGGCTTACTCCTACTGGTGTGTTGGAGGAAGTTCAATATACTGAACAGTTTTTTCCTCACCAATTTTCTCTTTCATCTCATCTCTTTCATCATATGCACTCACACACATGATCTGTGTGTGTGTGACCTGTGTATGTGAGATCTGCATGTGAGTGGTGTGTGTGTGTGTGTGTGTGTGTGTGTGTGTGTGTGTGTGTGTGTGAGACCTGTACTCACCTAATTGTGGTTGCAAGGGTCGAGACTCGGCTCCTGCTCCTGCCTCTTCACTGAGTGCTACTAGGTCCTCTATCTCCCTGCTCCATGAGCTTTATCATACCTCATCTTAAAGCTATGTAAGGTTCCTGCCTCCACTACCTCACTTGCTAGGCTATTCCACTTCCTGACTACTCTATGACTGAAGAAATACTTTCTAACATCCCTTTGACTCATCTGGGTCTTCAACTTCCAATTGTGACCCCTTGTTTCTGTGTCCCCTCTCTGGAACATCCTGTTTCTGTCCACCTTGTTTATTCCATGCAGTATTTTGTATGTCATCATGTCTCCCCTGACCCTCTTGTCCTCCAGTGTCGTCAGGCCGATTTCCCTTAATCTTTCTTCATAGGACATTCCCTTAGCTCTGGAACTAACCTTGTCACAAACCTTTGCACTTTCTCTGATTTCTTGATGTGCTTGATCAAGTGTGGGTTCCAAACAGGTGCTACATAGTCCAGTATGGGCCTGACGTACACAGTGTACAGTGCCTTGAAAGATTCCTTACTAAGATATTGGAACGCTATTCTCAGGTTTGCCAGGTGCCCATATGCTGCAGCAGTTATCTGGTTGATGTGTGCTTCCGGAGACATGCTTGGTGTTATACTCACCCCTTGAGTGAGGTTTGCAGTCTTTGGCCCCCTAGCCTATACTCCGTCTGCGGTCTTCTATGCCCTTCCCCAATCTTCACGACTGCATTTGGCGGGGTTAAATTCGAGAAGCCAGTTGCTGGACCAGGTGTCCAGCCTGTCCAGGTCACTTTGAAGTCCTACCTGATCCTCATCTGATTTAATTCTCCTCATTAACTTCACATCATCTGCAAACAGGGACACTACTGAATCTAACCCTTCCATCATGTCATTCGCATATACCAGAAATAGCACTGGTCCTAGGACCGACCCCTGTGGGACCCCACTCGTCACAGGTGCTCACTGTGATACCTCATTACGTACCATGACTCGTTGTTGCCTCCCTGTCAGATATTCTCTGATCCATTGCAGTGCCTTTCCTGTTATACATGCCTGATTCTTTAGCTTCTACACTAATCTCCTGTGAGGAACTGTGTCGAAGGCCTTCTTGCAGTCCAAGAAGATGCAATCTACCCACTCCTCTCTCTCGTGTCTTACTTCTGTTACTTTATCATAAAACTCCAGTAGGTTTGTGACACAGGATTTGTCTTCCATAAATCCGTGCTGGTTGGCGGTTATACTCTTGTTCCATTCCAGGTGCTCCACTACTCTCCTCCTGATAATCTTCCCCATGACTTTGCATACTATACACGTCACTGACACTGGTCTATAGTTTAGTGCCTCTTGTCTGTCTCAGTTTTTAAATATGGGTACTACATTTGCAGTCTTCCATACCTCAGGTAGTTGCCCAGTTTCAAGGGATGTATTGAAGATTGTGGTTAGTGGCACGCACATCATTTCTGCTCCCTCTCTAAGGACCCATGAAGAGATGTGTGTGTGTGTGTGACTTGAACTCACCTATTTGTGGTTGCAGGGGTCGATTCATAGCTCCTGGCCCTGCCTCTTCCCTGATCGCTACTAGGTCCTCTCTCTTCCTGCTCCATAAGCTTTATCAAACTTCGTATTAAATCTGTATATGGTTCCTGCCTCCACTACGTCACTTGCCAGACTATTCCACTTCCTGACAACTCTGACTAAAGAAATACTTCCTAACATCCCTTTGACTCATCTGAGTCTTCAACTTCCAATTTTTGGCCCTTTGTTTCTCTGTCCCATCTCTGGAACATCCTGTCTCTGTCCACCTTGTCAATTTCTCGCAGTATTTTGTATATCGTTATCATGTCTGCCCTAATCCTCCTGTCTTCCAGTATCATCAGGCTGATTTCCCTTAGCCTTTCTTCATAGGGCTTTTCCCTTAGTTCTGGAACTAGTCTTGTTTCAAACCTCTGCACTTTCTCTAATTTCTTGACATGCTTGACCAGGTGTGGATTCCAAA